TCATGAGTTTAACTTTTAGTTTTAAACCAATACATATAAAAAATAAAAGCAACAGACTGCATTCGAACCTTGCGATCATTAAACCCATACTTTGATCACTAGACTATCAGTACTTGTACAAATAGTGTTATTCGGCCAAGTATTCGGCGTTTACACCAAAATGTTAACTAATATTCGGCCATTTTCCACCGAATAAGTGGCTGACAATGTGTTTGAGTGACATTTTGAGACTGCTAAGCTTGATATTCGGCCTAAGTATTCGGTCGCATACTATGGCGGCCGAATATTTGATGCATCACTAGTTTTGACCCTATTCAGAAATTGGCCACTTCCCCGGAGATATCTGGACATGTCCGGATGAGGCCAATGGGGACCTAGATCCTCAGTTTGTCTGCCATTGAGCTTGTTTTAGATTTCTAATATGAGTTGAAGTGTCGCATGACACGTTTCAGGTAATTTCTAGTCTTACGGGTATTGTGGAGAACATGTTCTGGTCATATTTCCGGAACCGGTTAACCTTCCATTTGGTGGTGATTACGTTCAATTCGGTACAACAAAACGCCTTACATTGTTTCGTTACACACACACAAACATTTTCCGATCTCGTCGAGCTGAGTCAAGTGGTATACACTGGAGTCGCTTTTTACGCGGTTTTTTTACGCGAATTTCAGAATTTACGCGGGTTCTTTACGCGGATTTCGGAATTTACGCGGTTCATTGTTAAACACTGGAGTCGCTTTTTACGCGGTTTTCGGAATTAATGCGGTTCATCGTTATACACTGCACAGCAAAAAAATAATTTTGATATCACATCAAAGTGGATGCACTACAAACATGTCGAAAATTTCATGTAATTTTTATGACCACATAAATAAACAAATGCAGTAAAAACAGCGTAATGTCAGTTCATGCATTGTATTAATGATAATTTTGTCCTTTTTAGCAAGTAATATTACACCATATTTCCGACATGATTGTAGTGCATCCACTTTGACGTGATATCAAAATTATTTTTTTGCTGTGTGGAGTCGCTTTTTACGCGGTTTTTTTGCGCGGATTTCAGAATTTGCGCGATTTTGTTTTGCACATTTTTTACGCGGCACGTATCCCCCGCGTAAAAAGTGACTCCAGTGTATAAACACGGCCGTACGGGTCGCTGCTAATTACATAACAACAAACCATTACGAACAAGTTCGTTCAAGTCCGGCGACATGGAACTATTTTACATGTATCGAATTGTTAAATCATTTGCCGGCGCCGGTGGTGTAGTGGTAAGCGTGACTGCTTTCTCACCTCAATGGATCTGGGTTCGATCCCAGCCGAGGTCGATGGGATTTTTCTGAGGCATAACAATCTCTGGTCACGTTCGGAAAGGAAGGAAAGCCAAGCCGTTGGTCCCGGCCCATGTGTGATTGAATCGGTACAACATTCTACGCAGGTGTGGAAGCTGCCTTTCTGCATATTCGATTGCCAGCAATGGATGGCATTCGATGTCCGTCGGTGATTGGCACTAGATTGCGGAACAGAGACCGATGTTAAATAAAGGAATGATGTGGTTGTGATTAGAACGAGAAGTGGCAGCACCTCTAGGCCATCGAACCCTCAATAACACTACAAACCACTACGACCGCTATGAACAATTCAGTAAAAAAAATCTTCAACGAGATCGACGAAGGCTCACATGTGTTCAACGGTACTTTAAAATGTGCAGATGGAAAAAGTTGTTCTATATTTCAAATTTATATAACAGAGTATTTCCAGAAGTTCGTGAAATTCAAGAGAATATCGGACATGTCGAGGATATTTTTTTTTCTTTATTACAGAGGTTTTTAGCCTAAATGTTGATTCACCTCTGTATAGGGCAATTCGTCCAAGTTCTCTTGATTTGATTTCAGAGAACTTCGTTCAAATGCGGGATGCTTCGTAAAAGTTCAGGGAACGTTGTAAAACTTCAAGAAACTTCGTAGATCATCAGAAAACTTCGTAGATGTTCAAATAACTGCGTAATAGTTCTGCCAACTTTTCAGAAGTTTATAGCAGTTCAACAAATTTTATATTAGCTCAACGAACTTCGTAGAACTTTAGTAAACTACGTACAAGTGCAGAGAAATTTGAAAAATAAAAATCAGAAAACATCGAAGATCTTCATCCACTTTGGGTAAATGATTAATGCAAGGGTAAATGATTAATGATGAGTCAAACTATTTTTACTTGTTAGGAAACAATACTAGAAGGCAAGAACATGTATTTATGTGGGGAGATATGTTGCGAAAATGGGGAAATAAATCCACTACCTACAGGTGGGAATCGAACCCACACGTCCAAAAAAAAAAAGACATAGAATATTGTCTTCCCTGAAGTTTGGAGAAGTTCATGGGTGTTCGGAGACCTTGGTCGAATCAAGAGAGCTTGGATAAAATAATAATTATGGAGCATGGAAGAATTTCACTGAACGTCGTAGAAGTAAAATTTTGTTTAGCAGTTAATGGAACTTTGTAGATGTTCAGAGAACTTTTTAATTGCTCATGGAATTTTAATGATGTTCAGGGAACTTTGCATGAGTTAAAAAGAATTTTAATATGCCCAGTAAACTTAATTCTGTTGTAGTTTCTATAAGCAATGGAAAAAATCAAAGAGGTTTAGGGAGCTTCGTAGAAGCTGACGAAACATCCCAGCAGTGTGTAACTAACCAAAAATACAGGGAGCTTCATAGAGACTCAGTAAACTTCAGATAAGCTTAATGGATTGCAAAAAAGTCCAAGGAGCTATGTTTGGGTGCATAGAATTCCTTTTAAGTTCATGACACATTGCGGAAGTGAAGGACCTACGAAGAAGTTCAGGAAACTTCCTAGATATCTAGGGATCGTCGTTGATATTCACGGATATGTTTCAAGTCGTTAGGTTGACCAAGTTTTATGCTGAAGATCTGGAACTAATTAAAATTGAAATGTCATTTCTCAGATATTCTTCCAAGACGGCATGTTCATCCGGAATTATTTGAAGGATCTCCAGCTGGTTGAAGATTTCGATAAAGTCCTCTCGATATGTGTTGAACCATTGTTATTCTGAAGACCTTTAACTGCTAAAAAAAACAAAACATTTCCATATATTCTCCCAAGATTACTGATAGAAGAGATACTATCATGTGACTAATTTGGAAGATGTCCAGCTGATCATAAATTGCAATGAAGTCCTCTGGTTCATGTTTCAATACTACATGTTGATCAAGATAATCTTTAACTGTTCAAAAAGTCAAATGTCATCGCTCAGATATTCGCGCAAAATGGCAAATTGGTAAGGAAGTATTTAAAAGATGTTTTGTCAAGACTGATGAAGTACATTCTAAAGATCTTTAACTGTTCAAAATTCAAATTGCGTCTCTCAGATATTCTCCCAAAATGGCACAATAATCAAGAAGTAAGATCCCCAGCTAATCTAATATTTCACTTAAGTCCTGTTGATCTTCAGAACTTCAAGTTGAAAGCTCAAAGAGTTGTAAATTTTGCAGAATGTTGGCAGGTGGTGAAGTATTCAAGACTTATTAGTATAATTTGTGGCTTTATGGGGCTAGTCTGTATGAAGTTTAAACAGTTCTTATAAATCGTTGACTGCATTTTTTTTATTTATTTATTATTTTTTTTATATTCACTTTAGCACTCTTGGGTCATTCGTGACTTGTCCGGGGTGAGACTTGAACTCGTGACTTTGGCGTAAGAGGTATTGATGTTAACCACTACGCCGGGGTCGCCCCCTGCATTTTATTTAAAAAAAACTGTAATTTCTTGAAGTTCAACGGACAAAACTAGCTGAAGCCAAAATAATGTTCTTTTAAACTATTCAAAGTTTACTAAATTCGGTTCATGACAAAAAATATTAGCTTCTAATTTGAGCTTTCCTTAGCTCAGTCCGTAAATGCGCAGCTATTAAGCAAGACCATGGAGGCGGCTCACGCGTGATATTGAGAGCGGAAAAATATCAATTGATTTCTGATTTTGCCAACACTACTTGGATTAGTCAGCTACTTATAGATGTTGGGACCGGTTGGGATAAGCTTTTATTGCATATCCATTAACGCTTCTATTCAGCTCTTATCCTGCTGTTTAGTTGTGTGTGAACTTGAAAGGCGCTTATTCAACCTTTTCCCGGCTACCCAATAATCACTACACAGCTTTCTCTTGAAGCCGGGTTAAATATTGTTTATTGAACCTGGAATCGAACTCTAGACGACCGCATTGGCAATCCTTGACACTACCAACTGTGATACGCCCACACTTTGAACTGATGTAAAACAATCAATAAGCCCTTCTACAACAAAACGCTGAGTAGAGGCTTTATAATAGTGCACATGAATCACTTTTCTCGACTAGTTACTTCAACTTTGTAAAGGTGCAGAGTAAAAGCTGTAAAACTGCACACGTCTAAAAATAAACCTAGCTGACTGTAACAATGCTTCCAAAGTAGCGCTAACACAATATATTAGCTGAGTAAAGGTTGTTTAGTTGTTGAAAAACACTTTTGATGTTTATGTTATTCAACAAGAGTAGTTGGTTGTGTAGAAGCCATCAAATGAGTGACACATTCACTTTAATAGCTTTGTTTTGCAGCTAAAAGTTGATTAGCATGTGTATAAAAGTGACATTCGCATCACTTAACAAGGTGAATCCTAATCCAATGAACCCAACCTACTAAAGATGTCCCAACCCAACCCAACAAACTTTCACAATATAATATTTATTGTTGCTTATGAAAGACAGAAAAACATGTTTTATATCGGAATTTATAGGCCCAATATAAGGAAACGTAAGGTCAACATTAGGGTCATGTTAATCCCTATGAGTTTCAATAGACTTGAGCGCAGCGTATGTACTAACAAAAAATTGGAAACTCTTACCCTACGTAACTTTCATACTCCCCTTGCTATAAATAGGCATTCAATAATTTAAAAAAAAACGTCACATCAGTGTTTGATTTATCTCAGCAAATTTATTTATCTATACCACTGTAGAAAACAACAATATTGATAATATATTACAAGATTGTAGCCTGTTCTTACACATAACTGGGATCAGCAGAATTGTATTCTACTAATATTCGCTAGTAATCGATAGTATATCCATTTCCCACGAATATTAGTTGACGGTAACAAATTTAAAAGGTATTACAATATTTAGGCTAAATAAATACTTAAGGTAATAAATGAACACAACAGATCCTTGGAAACAAGTAACTTCACATGAGATCAGCGGTAGAGAAAGTGACGAATGGATGAGCGTAATTATCGGATGAGTGTTTCATTGGTGACAGTTGAGATCTCGAGTCTCGTCCTAAGCGAGACATCGAATTTCTCTTTGAGCTTAGATGTAGCACTAGCATGATCCGTACTCATCCATCCACGTTTCATAACGGGTGACGTCGTTGGCCGATACTGACTTGCGCGTCTTGGCCATCGCATCCTGGAAGTCCTGTGCCGTAACCGGCAAGTCCACCTCTTCCCGTCGAATCATCTTGATTTCCGATGGGGTCAGGCCATTGATGTGCCTCCTCATTGCCATCATGGCGGCATCGCTAGAAATTGTATAAGCAAGTCAATTGAAAGATTGTAAGAATGACACCGACTGATACATACCGACAAACGTTAGCAATGTCAGATCCGGTGTAGCCTCTGAGTTGGTCTCCTATTGTTTCCGTATCCAGATCCGGTGACATATTCACACCTTTCAGACAAAGCTCCAGCAGTGCCTTTCTAGTGTTATCATTCGGAAGACCGATGTAGACTCGTTTCTCGAACCGTCTCCTGAAAGCTTCATCGATATCCCAGGGATGATTAGTTGCCGCTAGTACCATTATGATCTTCTCATCGCTAAAAAAAATAGATAATGACATACGAAACGAAAAACTATTGAAAATAGAAGTACACTCACTTAGCAGCATTCAATCCATCCATCTGTATGAGCAATTCCGCCTTGAAACGCCTGCTAGCCTCGTGTTCCGAATCGCTGCCTCGACAGGCACAAAGGGAATCGATCTCGTCTATAAAAATCGTACTGGGAGCATAGAATCGAGCCATTTCAAACAGTAGTCGTACAAGCTTTTCACTTTCACCGCGATATTTTGAAGTTAAGGTGCTCGAGGATACGTTAAAGAAAGTTGTTCCGCACTCCGTAGCTACTGCCTTCGCAAGCATAGTTTTCCCTGTACCGGGTGGTCCCACCATCAGTACACCCTTCCACGGTCGTCTAATTCCACGGAAAAAGTCAGGCAAAATGACCGGTAGCACTACAGCCTCCTGAAGAATTGCTTTCGCTTCATTCAAACCAGCAACATCATTCCACTGCACATTTGGATTCTTCTGTAGCATGTCCTTTTCCAGCGTGTCCACCAAATGCGTTTCATACCCATTGGAAGAGAAGATCTTGGACTTGTCGATCCTCTTGACTGGCGAGTGCTGCTGTTGTGGTGAATTTTCTTCCACCGAAGTGGCTTCCTGATCGTCCGAACCTCCCCCTTCCTCGGAGGAAGATTTCTTCGGCCGTTCCTTGATCTTCGAAGTGGCCAACTTGCGGGCCCTAATTCGTTCTACCGATCGACTTTTTCTTAGCGATGACTTCTGTCCACTGTTTCGACTGCTGCGCCGTTCCGTTGGTGTATTGGTTGAGCTGGTGTAACCGACACTGTTTTGGTGCGTAAGCGACGAGGTACTTTGGTGATTGGAATTATTGATTGAAGGCAGTGTTGGTTGAAGCTCCGGATCCCGACGGCGAAGTGAGGAAATCCACCGTGAATCCGTCGCCGTTGGCGGCGAGGCGGCATTGGAAGCCATGGCGGCATGTCGTGGGTTCGGGTGGACCTCTGAAAGGGAATTGAAAGATGAGTGAGGCCAATGTTGAGAGACTTGTATGTATCTGCATTATTAATATATTGTCAATATGATTTAAAGCTCGGCCAGCTTCAAATTTCAGTGATACATAGTTCATTGCCAAGGAGAGTTTTCATTTTATTTATTTTGTGAATATAAGCCTAATCGAGTTAAACAATGCTGATGATCACTATTTGAAGTTGGTCAGAACTTGAATCACTGCGGTATTCTTTATATCACTTGCATTCATCCTAAACAACGCTTTTAGCGAATTTGTTTACTATCCAGGTTGGAACCAGTTGCAACCCATGTAAACCCAAATTTTCCGTCAGTGCGAACCTCAACCCGAGCCAAGTTACAGAAACAATCAGGCCTATTCTGCGCGGCGTGTGAGGTGAGGTGACACGCTCTCACTTGTGAAGTGACAATTGTCACCTCGGGTGAGGTGACTCTCCGTGCAAATCAAATGGAGAGTCACCTCACCCGAGGTGACAATTGTCACTTCACCATCACTTCACTGTCACTTCACCTCACACGCCGCGCAGAATAGCCCTGACAATCAATCAACCTGACGTTTGTCATAAAACAAGCAGACCCTATCTTGATACCCGATCCAGGTCTGAACTGAATCAAAAACAAATTCTGTATTATAGTATGTTCAGACTACAGACTTATAACATGTTATAATAATTATCGACAAGAAAAATGTCATCAAGATAGGCTTATAACATGTTATAACTCTCCAGTCTGGACAGCGTTTTGGTTAACCTTTTCAAAATATGAAATTAGCTTACCTGCTCATAAGCCACTTAGACACTTTAAGGGGGTGTGGCTTTCGATTGTCTACGGCTCGCATAAACTTCAAAAAAATGTATGGACGTTTATCTCCGCGGAGAGAGGAACGGGTCAAAACGTAGATTTTGAACATGGTATACGTAGCTTATGAACAGCCCCACTGTCACGTTCCGTCATGACAAAAAAAAAATCGATGAGATTTTGAAGAAAATCTCTATCATCGTTTTCTCATCCGATGATAGTGACAGAAGTATCTCTGTAAATATCGCGTGCGATCTTTCATTGAAATTGTAAGCATTTGTTTTATTTTTTCAAGGCTTTGCACGATTTTCAAGCTTCAAACTTGGCCAGTTGAAACAAGATTTCACGAGAAAACTGGGGCAAAAATGTCAGAAAAATCTGTTCAGTTTAAATGTCATTAGGATGAAATTTTCTTTTTGAAATTAGGAGCATTTTCTCAATTTTACTGAAATTCACAGATTTGTTTCAACATAATCAATTCAATACAAAAAAAACATGCAACTTGTACATATATAGGGTGACTGGACATTAGCCATAAATACGTTAGCCATACAGATGTTCACCATACGTACGATAGCCATAACAGACGTTAGTCATGGTTCTGTTGTATTGGATTTTTTTTTTAATATACCCGTTATATATTTTTTGAACAAGGAAAAGGTAGTGTTGTCGAAACCGAACGGTTTTATTTTTAAATTTATTTTATGATTCCGATGATTTTGGACCACCGAGAAGTAAAGAGGAATAATCTTCATGACTAAGACTTTAATAATTTAAATTTTATTAAAAATTGTGTTCGCATGAAGCGAAAATACATATTCTTCAAAATCCGTTTAATTGAACTCTGTCCCAAAATCGAAAGGCTTTGTGGTTTTGTTGCCAAAATCGAACCATGTCAAAGTCAAACGGGTACTATATTTACAAATATTTTTTTCTCTTTATAAAAATGCAATGGAACTGCCCAAATCATTTCTTGCTTTGACTTCTTGACTATAAGTTGTTCTTTAACGGATAAATGCTTTCAAAAAAATTATCATAAAATACTCATAAATAATGTTGCTCTTGGATTTGACTCCTTCTTTACAGCATGAGGTGCTCTTTGACAAATAAAATCCCATCTGAAAATTGTTAAAAGCAACATCTCTATTGGAGTTGATTCTTTGTTTACAAAATGACCTGTTATTTAACATTTTTCTTTTATGAAAAATCCAATTGAAAAATTCACAAACTATTTTCTCTTCAATTTGACTCCTTCTTTATATGATGAGAAGTTCTAAAAAGTTTAAAAAATTATATTCAAATAATCGCAAATTAGTTTTCTCTTGGAGTTGACTCCTTCTTTACATCATGAGCTGATCTTTGATAGATAAAATAGTTTGAATAACTTCATTAAGATGCATACAAATCATTTTTCTCTTAGAGTTGACTCCTTCTTTCTTTGTATCATGAGCTGTTTTTGACAGATAAAATCCCATCTGAAAATTCTTAAAAGTAACATCTCTGTTGGAGTAGATTCCTTCTTTAAAGGTCATGTTTGTTATTTCAAATACAACCAGTTGTAAAATGAGAATAAACAATGAATATATTATGGCAAGCGTACATCCAACAAAATAACGTGTATTTGAAAAATGTTAGTTAATTTGGTTGTTCGGATTTACCTTAAGAAAATGCACCACCTTTCTATAGCAGCTCTTAAAGCTTGTGCTCGAAAAAAAATGCACTATTTTTATCCGTGTGTAACTTTTTTATCCGTGGGTAAAAATTGATGAAAATCTGGGTATAACTAGTATGGAGTGAATTGTTTACATGTGCAAAATTTCATAACAATCGGTTCAGTGGTTATTGAGATGTCATCGAACAAGAAGAAAATCGCTGGAGAATTTTGCGCGCCGTCATGGAAAATCCGACTACGACCATGAGATGGATCGGAAGACTACTGGGAATCACCCATAGAACTGTGTCTCGGGTGGTAAAATCGTTTAAGGAGTCCCAGACGACCGAGCGGCGGGCTGGAAGTGGAAGAAAATCGAAGACAGCTGACCCTGTGAAGGCCCGGAAGGTGTTGGATTATTTCAAGCGTAATCCGAACCTTTCGATTCGCGACGCGGCTCTGAAGGCAAAGTGTTCCGCCTGGTTCGTTCAGCAAACCATGAAACGAGCTGGGCTTCGTGTATTCAAGGTCCGGAAGGCACCGAACCGGCGTGATCAACAAAACACGGCGGCCAAATCCCGCGCAAGGAAGCTGTATCGAGAGTCATTAACGAAAACGATGTGTGTGGTTATGGATGACGAAACCTACATCAAGGCAGACGCAAAGCAGATACCGGGACTGGAGTTCTACGTTGCCAAATCACGGTTTGATGTTCCGGAAGACATAAGGAACAAGAAAGTGGACAAATTCACCAAAAAATACTTGCTCTGGCAGGCCATATGCCAATGCGGTAAACTGAGTAAACCGTACATCACAATGGGTACCATCAATAGCGAAATTTACCGCACCGAGTGCCTCCAGAAGCGTCTGTTGCCCTTCCTGCGGAGGCGAGACATTATTTTGGCCGGACCTCGCTTCATGCCATTACGCGCGATCGACTTTGGATTGGTACAGAGACAATAACGTTGTTTTTGTACCAAAAACCGCCAACCCCCCAAATTCACCAGAGATTCGTCCGGTGGAAAGATTTTGGGCCATAACGAAGGCCAAAGTTCGAAAATCGTCCAAGATGTTTAAGAACGAGCTGGAGTTGAAGAAAGAATGGATGAAAGTGACCAAAAAGGTCGGCACCACTAGAAATACTCAGAGGGAGAGATAGGCGGAGAAAACAAAATACAATTCGGCAGCAGGGATTTGTTCCTAAATTATCTTGCAACCCTTGCTAGAAGCTAGCATTTCAAATGACTTGTATTTTTGATTCGATTTACGTGCAAAATAATAATTGATTGCATCGCAATATTTTGCACATTTCTTGGTGCCATTCATTAACCAACGAAGATCAATTAATCAATAGAGTTAGAATATTGTTTTTGATTCCAAAAACTAGTTGAATTTGAGAAGCACACAAAACATAAAGGTGATTGAATTTCTGTTCGATTGCAATACTCTCAAATTTCTAGTAAGAATAAGAAATCCTCGGAAAAATTCTAATTTGAATGTTCGATTGGCTTAGATTTTGACAGTTCATTTGGCTCGAAACATTCTCTCCGCCCATCTCTCCCTCTGAGTATTTCTAGGCACCACCATTGCACAAAATGTAATGAGGGGTCTTAAGGGAAAGGTGCGGGCTTTCAGCGATGGAAAGGAAATTGAATAAAGTAATTATGCCGAAACATAATCCATATGTATTAGTTCATTCCCTGAAAGTTTCAAGAACATTTTTGGCGAACACTTTTGTCTGGTGCATTTTTTTTGAGTACAGGCCTTAGTAGCAGTACGTCAAGCTAGAGAGGTACGATTCATCCATTCAAATGCGGGCTTCGAGATAAGAAACTGGGTCTCGAACTCCGCCGAAGTACTTGAGTGTCTTGGAGAACCACAGCCGACCCAAACAGTTCAGTTCAATGTCGAAAAAGCAACGGAGAACGAGCGAGTCCTTGGAATAATTTGGAATCCAAACCAAGACGTATTTTCATTCGCCACCGATCATCGACCAGAGCTGAAACCGTTTTTCGAAGGTGCTCAACGACCAACAAAACGGTTGGTCCTAAGCTACGTAATGGGGTTCTTTGACCCACTCGGACTTCTGGCTCCGTTTACGATACACGGTAAAATGCTCATCCAAGATTTGTGGCGGACGGGCTGCGGTTGGGACAACGAAATAGACGATAAGTCGTTAAAGAAGTGGAAGCGTTGGACGGGTCTGTTGACGCAGGTAGAAGGTATTCGAATTCCTCGTTTTTATCTCGGGGACTCGTATTCATCCGCCGTCGAATCACTCCAGCTTCACATTTTCATGGATGCCAGCGAGCACGCGTATGGATGGTGGCCTATTTTTCTCTGGTGATTTCTCGCACGAAAGTAGCACCGTTAAAATGACAGTCGATCCCGCGCCTTGAACTGATGGCAGCGGTTCTGGGTTCACGGCTGTTGTGCACGGTCCAGTCACATCATTCCCTCTCTATTAGCAACAAATTCCTCTGGACAGATTCCCAGACGGTGCTCAGTTGGATTCGGTCCGACCAG